ACAATTTTGAATAGTCTTTTAGATTTATTATTAGGCAAAAATTATCTATTATGGATTAATTAATAAAAGTAGTAACTCGTATTTATGATTTTCTTTAAAGTTTATTATTTTCATAAGATACAAAAATAAACGTCAAACTTAAAAATATATAATTACAATAAAGCAAATATGAATTCTCTCTAAAATAAATTCAAATATTTAAATAAAGTTGAAACTCCATAAATCAAAATATTAAAAATAATAATAAAATATAATACGACAAACATTTTTTTGGAGACATGTGATTTTTTAAATTAATTTAACGAAAAATAAACATATTTCAATTATTAATTATTATTATTATTATTATTATTGTAATTGCAGTCTTTGAGTCACGTGAACGATATTTTTAATGTATGTTTAAATGAGTAATAATTATTGTAATTTATTTTAATGTGCAATAATTTAATAAAATAAAAATTATAAACAATTTTGAGTCTTAGATTTTATTATTAGGCAAAAATATATCTATTATGGATTAATTAATAAAAGTAGTAACTCGTATTTATAATTTTTTTAAAGTTTATTATTTTCATAAGATACAAAAATAAACGTCAAACTTAAAAATATAAAATAAAACAAACCGAATATGAATCTCCATATAATAAATAATAAATTCAATTATTTAAATAAAGTTGGAACTCGTAAATCAAAATGTTAAAAAAAATAATAAAATGTAATACGACAAGCATTTTTTTGGAGACATGTGATTTATGGAATTATTTTAACCAAAAATAAGCCTAAATTCAATGATTTCAGACAAAAAAAATCGCGAAAAATCACGTGAAGTAGGAAGGGGTCTAATAAGATATCACGTGTATTTATTTTTTGCCCAAATTTAAAAAAAAAAACAAATTTTACGTTTTTTTCGAAAATTCAAAAAATCACGACCAAACTAAAAAATCGATCACGTAATCAATAGATGCCCCCTAAGTTATATATGTAAATGTTATTTTAAAAACTAAGATAAAAGAAAAGTTTTTGTTATAAATTCATTTGTATAAAAAAAATAAAAAAAAATTTGAACATAAATAAAAGTTTAAGAAAAATTGTTTTTCCTATGTATCAAATAGAATCAACTGTTACTGAATATTAAAGAATAATAATTAAATAAAGAATATTTATACCAGTATCTTATTTTTAACAATTCTGTAGCTTCAAAAAAATTTGAGTGATACGAATGAAATATTTGGTAAACTTATGAAAAAATAAATATTCTACACATTTCTTAATATGTAACAATTTCGTCTACTCAAAAATTACTATGGAAAATTAAAATCAAAATACAAAAAATCGACGAAAAAATATCATAACCATATTGCAAAACTTTTTTAGTTTAGTTTTTACTTATTTCCATTAAAATCATACTCCACAAATTCCATGTATCCCCATCCCCCCTCATGAGCAAATCTTAACCGCCCCATTCCTAAACCCTTCGATCATAATACACCTCCCACAGATCCCCAAAGGCCCATTGATGCCCCCATCGGGCAAAACGTACTCCTTCCCGTCCCTCTCCCTGTTGGGGCTGAACTCGTTCAGGTTGGAATTGCTCAGACTGAGATCGGCCAATTCCCAGATGGCCAGCCTCTGCGATTTTCCATGCCAGGCGAGCACCCTGGCCATCTGCCCTTGGGGGATCACTATGCCGCAGACTAGGGCCCAGTGGGCCTTGTTGCCGTTGGCCTGGCAGGGGGAGTGATTGTACCAGGCGTCGTAACTGTGAGGAACGGGTTAAGGGTAATAGACATAGGGTAATAGACTTATTCTTATTATCAGATAGGCTTTTAGTATAATTAACTTCCCGAAGGAGAAGTTTATGTTTTCATCAAAAAATCCGATTCGCTGATTTTATGTTTTCTCGACGTTTCAAGCCATTCTGAATCAAATGAGACCAAATTTAAGGGAAAAGTATGTGTGTGTGTATGTGTGTGTGTATGTGAACAGATTTTTTGCCGTAAATCGACGTTTTCTCAAAAACGGCTGGACCGATTTCAAAAATTTAAAAGCGATTCGATGTATCTCGATGAGGACTAGCGTTTATCAATTTTGCGCGACGTAGGTAAATTTTATGGATAACAAAATAACAAAGAAGCTGTCTGCAAAATAAACTATTGAATGCTTGAGAGAGTGCACAGTTGCAATCTCTCCTAATTTAAGAAAAGATTATAATCTAGATTGACTTGGGATGCCAGTTAGGTCCAAGGGCGTTTTCCTTTTTAATCTTTTGGTGTAGTTTGCTGAGATGAGTGCTTTGGCGAGCCCGTTGGGATGGTTCTCCAGTCGGTGACTGTGTTTGATGGCGTATCTTGCAATTTCTTCTTCTACAGTATGCAGGCCCGTGTCCTGGTGGAGCGGCCATACCGGTACATATTTTGGGGCGTTCAGGATGATCCTTAGTATCTTGTTTTGAAACTTTTGAATAATTTTTGTATTGCTCTTAAATGCTGTCCCCCAAAGTGAGTTGTTTCTTTGTAAATAACAGAAAAGTGAAAAATGTATTAGTTTCGTCCATGTTTTAGCCCACAATTCTGAATCGATTCGGAAAATTCTAATACCGTTTGAAAGATATTGGTTGCGAATCGTGCTGATTAGTTTTTGGAAGAGATCGGCCAGGCCGTTTTCTTGTAATAAGGTGTTAAAAAAAAAAATCGACGATTTTTATTATTATTTTTTTGACGGTAGATACCATAGTCTTCTAGCTAGATCATACTAAAATATTACGGCCCTACGACAACTCGTTTAACTTTAAAAATTCGTCAAAGTTTGCAAAAATTGGTTTCGTTTTTTTAGCGTTTGTCAAAATTATGCGAACTTTCCTGCGATTTACAAAGAAACGGCATGGCAGATCGTCTCACAAAACTGACAATAGTCCTCATCGAAATACATCGAATGGCTTTTAAATTTTTGAAATCTGTCCAGCCGTTTTTGAGAAAACGTCGATTTACGGTAAAAAATCTATTCACACATACACACACACATACTTTTTCCTCAAATTTGGACTCATTCGATTCAGAATAGCTTGAAACGTCGAGAAAACATAAAATTAGCTAATCGGATTTTTTGGTGAAAACATAAACTTCTTCGGGAAGTTAAAAAATGAGAAATTCACCAATTTTTCGCAACTTTGATATAAAAAATTCACTTTAGATTGTTTAAAACGTAGGTTACTTATAACTTTTTTTAAAGGTTTTTTAAGTTCAACTAGAAGAGAAATTAATCCTGAATACAATCAATTCTGTAAAATCGAAAAAATGAAAAATCGAGATTGCTTATATACTTGCTCACTATTTCGTCTGTAACTTTGAAAATAATTTGAATTTGTTTCTGAAATTCAGGGATATATTCTTGGCTAGTTTTGGAAAACTTTATAGCAAAAAAATGGATTTTTCAAGCCTCTAAAGCAGACCCGCCCTTGACACAAAATTCTATTTACAACTGTTTTACAAGACTTATTTTTATCAAAAGGATACGGTACGAGCATAGCTCCTCCTTCCAACAAAAACTGCATAACATCAACAGTCTCTATAGAACCTTCGTGCAACCAAACTTTACAACCCTCCCCAAATTCGCACCTGTCTAAATTCTCTTTCAACAAATCCAACAAATATTTAGCACTGAACATCTCTCCATTAATACTGTATCCTTTACCCCTGGCCTGGGTCAATAATTCTTCGGCCGTGACCTTATTTCCCAACAGTATCGAAAGGGCCACAAGGCCGCAGGTGGGTCCTATCTGTTTCTGGGGTTGAAATTTCCTGTAAGTGCATTTTATTGGAGGTCTGTCCAGTGATATTTTGTGGATGTTGCAGGTCCATTGGAGCTCTGGGAATTGTGAGGCCCACAGGCAGGCGTTTGTGGACAGGTCCTTGTTTTCGAAGTCTTGCAAAGTTATTAAGGGGGCGTCGAATTGGGGCGGTAACGGCGGGGCGATTGGCGGGGAAATTGACATGGCTGAAAATTGTTGGGATTCGTTTTAAATTTTAAAGGTACATCATAGAGATTTGGTAGTAGAATCCGCTGATAACGTGCATTTTGCAACTTATATTAATTTAAAATAGATAAATAAATATGCATTCTAAACTAAACCTTTTGTTTATGAATTTTCTTCCTGGCAATTTGTTTGTCACAATTGTCTCCTTTATCATATTCAAGTGAAATTCAAATAAATGAAGAAGATGGAATAAAAAATTATTCCTAAACTAGGTGATACTGCCTAAATGCAAGCTGCATTAAATTCTTGATAATTATGTGCAATAGTTATATGCAATTATCTTGATAGTTATGTGCAAAAATTGACGAATACAACTAAAAAATCAATTTATTCATTTAAGAGTGATTTATAAGTATACAGAGTTGCTGTAAGAGTTATGATATTAGAAAATAAGGCAGATTATTTAATTTTGTGTAAATTTTTCAAGCAATAAAGTTATATTCAACAAATAGTTTAAATTCTTAAAATTATTTAAGAAAAGTCCTAATTTCTTGGCATAATATTCCAAGTATTGAATTTATTTTATAATTAAACTAGTTTCATTGAAATTGATTACAAAAAAACGTCTCAAACGATCTTAACCAAAAACTAATCAGCACGACTTGCAATTAATATTTTTGCTTTTGAATATTCAAAATCGGTTTAAAATTTTTGTCAAGAATTTCTGTACTTATTTACTATTATAAAGAAACGGCCCGTCTGATCATCGCGTAAAACTAGCCAAAAAGTATACTTATAAAATTTTGTTAAAATGGCTTTTAAATTTTTGAAATTAGTTCAGTTGTTTTTTTGTAAAGAGGGCGCCCATTAATCACGTGATCGATTTTTTTTAAGATTTTTAGACCCACTCTCTTTCTTGGTAGGGTAATTCAAAATTATCCCACCTCCTCCACTAAACATTACGTGTATTTTTAGTTAAGAAAAATTTGTAAAATTTTAGATTTTTTTGAAAATGTTTGTTTTTTTTAAAAAAAAGCAAGTGAAAAATAAAAACACGTGGTACTTTCTATATCCTTCCTCACCCACGTGATATTTCGTGATATTTCGTTCAAAACTACTCCCTTAAACTAATTAAAAAATAAAAAAAGCTTGTTAAATATGTATATATTAATTGAAATTTAAAAAAAAAAACTGTTTTAAAAAATATTTATTACTTAACATGTTTATTACAAAGTTTTTACAAAAATTTTAGCTTTATATACATTTTACATTAAAATCCGCATATAACGACCGAGATTTATTTTTCGTTATGTTTATAGCAACAATTTAATTTAACATTGGCAAATTTTGTTTAAATAATTTTATATAAAAAACCTTTAAATTTATATCGTTGTATATTTATTAACTATCCCCATTGGCAGTTTTTCCATTAGAATAACTATCCCTTATCAAAGTGTATATTTTAACCATGGCTTCTATCATAGTCTCGTCTTCAAAATTCGAGTGAACAAAAATATTTAAAGTCTCCGCAGCCTTCAAGGCCTCCTCGATAGTCGGACCAGTTTGGACATCAATTTCCGATTCCGATTTAATTTCCGGACTTAAATCTTCTGCACAAATTTCTTCCGGTTTGCAAGAGTCTTCAGTTGTCTCGCAAAACGATAAAGGATCATAATCTTCTAAATCTGTGGGTGATAAAAATCCGGCGCTTTTGGATAAATCAGATATTACTGAGTCTGGTAGTTTTTGCCAAGATTCAGATAAAAGTGATATAATATCAGTGTTAGACGTGGCGTCCAGGACTATGGATTTTAAAGTGCTTGTAATGCCTTGTTGGACAGGTTGGATGATTGCATCAGGCACAGGAACTAAGGTGATGTTGGTTAAACCAGAAATTGGAGAAGGATTTGTTCTACTATTCACTAACAGCAAAATGTTATTGTTATCCGTGCACAAATCGCGATTCCAAATTTGTAGCCATTTAGTGAGTTCAGAATTATAATCAACTGTTGCCCCTTTAGGATGAGCAAACTCTTCCCAGTTGCTAACAAACAACAAATTTTTCTTGATAGTTCCATTAATATTAGCAGAAACCATAAAACTACATTTTTTATCTCTTCTATCAAATTCAGTACCCGCAGCGATGAAAATTTGGTCATCAGCAAACTTGGTTCGCAAATTCGGCCAAGTTTGTTTCAACCAGTCCCCAGATGCACCATCATTTTTATTCTTACCAAATTTTAAGTTATGCCTGGCCTTAAATCGATTTATCCAGCTCGGTGTGCACACGTAATCCTGCATATTCAATTGTGCAGCAAAAAACTGCGCCTTTTTCCTTAACATCGGCCCATTCACGGGAATCCCCTGATTCTGCTGCTCCTGGGCCCATTGTAACAAGGCCTGGTCTATTTGTACTTGCGTGGGCCCCCGGATTCTTTTCAAATTTAATACATTTCTTTGGACTAGTTCTTCGATTCGGTTTTTATTTTTCCAAATAGCAGAAACCGTGGAATGGCCGACGCCGAATTCTTTGGAAATTTCGGCGTTGGAGACACCTGCTTCTAGGCGCTGAATTATGGCACTTTTCTCTTCGATTGTAAAACACTTTCGGCGAATGGGAGACGACATATTTTACTTAAGAAATAATAGTAAAAGAATTGGAAAGACGACTATTTAGCATTTTAGCAGAAAGTCAAATTGTTAAAAATCGTTATAAGCGGATGCCACTTCCAAAATCAATAAAACTACTTATCGGTTAATTTATATTTACAAAAATATTTAGGCACATAATATGATAATAATTTAAACATATTGTTCATACAATTAGGTTAGAATAACAAACACAACTCATGAAACAAATTGTTACTATACACACCTAACTTTAGCGAACAAAAACCAATTATATACAATTTCCAACCAGGACACTACTAAAAGAACTATCTAAATTATAAATTTAGCCAAAACTGTCACATTTGTAAAGAATTCTGTCAAAATTGTAGAATTGTCAGAAAGATCATTTAATTTCAGTCTACATCTGTCGTGAAATTTTGAAACGTTGCCCAAGAGCTGAAAGTTCTACTAGAGGGCACATCTTTATGTCTTCAGCAAATTCACGAAAGGACGAAAACAGGACATTCAGGATTTAATAGGCATTTGGCCTTACGGCAAGTTGCATTGACTTTTCGGCTTGTACAAATAATAGACTTAATCAATGAAAATTGATTTTAGTAATTTAGATGAAATTTTAGATAAAAAAATAAGAGTAAGAGTAATATTTGATAAGAGTAAGAGTAAAAATTTAATAAAAGTAACAATAAGAATGAATTATACATATTTATATAATGATAAATTATAAATTATATATTTATAGTAGCATTAAAAATTTACATGGTTCTTATAATGTTTATTTCATAAATTTATCCAAAAAAAAACAACGTGACGAACAGACATAAAGACAAACATGTTGGTTGAGTTCTAGGACAACCCTACACATGTATATTGGTAAATACTTTTATATTGGTAAAAAAATATAAATTGTATTTTTAAGCAAAATTTATTTTTGGGTTCTTAGTTCAACAATACCTATTTTGAATTTAAATTATTTAATAAACTGCAAAACTTGTACTCGTGGCTGCAAAAATTAAATGTTGGGGTATGTCACGTGCTTCTTTTATTTGCCATGAATAAAATAATATTTAAAGAGTTGTTATAAGGATAAAAATGCATTTTATACAGTACCCGTATCAAAATTCTCCTAATGATTATCACATAACATGTATTTCTTATAAGATACCTATAACATATTCACGTATGCCTAAACCTTAAATTCTTTGTCTTTTAACTAACTATATAGTACGCCTAATACGCCCAATACGCCTAATACGCCTAATACGCATACAACCCTATATACATAACACGCCCAATATTATAGCTTATCTTACACCTATAATGTTTCTTAAACGCTAATTTTTCCGAACCCTACCGGGAATCGAACCCGAGCCCCTGGGCGTGGCAGGCAGCGACCTTAACCACTAGACCACAGTAGCACTACAATTGGTCGCCTTTTTCCGCGTGTCGTCGCGTCGCCTTAGTATTAATTACTTAATTAATAGGTAAAGGCACCGCGGAAAAACAGTGCGTCCCTTAATATATTATTTGTGGGGGACCCAATAGAGTAGTGGTTAAGGCTGTGGACTGCCACGCGGTGGTCCCAGGTTCGATTCCCGGTGTGGGCGATAGACAATAGAGTATAGAGTAGAGACAATAGATAATAGATAAGCGTAAGATATAGCGTATAAACGGTAGAATGTAAGGTTTGTAAGGGGTAAAAAGATATGTAGGGCGTATGTTAGGTTAATAGGTATGAAGCGGTAATAGATTTATATATAAATGTAGGAACTGATGGTCTTAGGTATCATACGGTATGATTAGATATGTAATAATTAGAATTAAGTCCTTTAACGTATTGTAATAGATCTTGGGTACTTTTATATTTATAAAAAAGAAGTTCGCGTAAGATTCATACGCGATTGAAGTTAAACTTATTGGCTACTGTACAAAATAGCATTTAAGTAAAAATAAATACGTCATGTGACAATTTTGAATAATGTTTATTAGTAATATGATTACACTCGTGATGCACACATTTATTAGTATCGACCATTATACACATTCATATAATGTGTATAAGTATGGATTTATACTTCAAATATGACATGATTAGTTTGTCATTTTAGTAATTAGCATTTAGAAATGAACCTTCATTAGAGAAATGAAGTAATTGCTGATTAATAACTTCTATAATATTCGTTCACAAAGTGGATTATGTTCAACAACTCCTAAACAAATATTATTTTCACAATTTCACTCATCATCATATATTCATGTAATTAAAATTAACAAACATTCATTGACTGCTTGTATTTTTTTGTGCCCTCCCTACACTATGCATTTCTAATAAATGTTTCAATACATGCTATTAACATTAGTATCTAATAAAGAAGATTAATCAAAATAACCC